ACTTAATTATATTGCTTACAATCTTTATGTGACATATTATACTTACTTAAAGTTCTCTGTGGCTTTTTCTCCCTAATGAGTAAAATCAAGGAATTAGACCAGCCTACTCCATCTGATACCCTATGCCCTTCTCTTCTGTATTTCTGTCTCTCCAGCTGTAAATTCATCATTTCTAATGTAAATAAATGAAATGAAGCAATACTCTTCTTCCAAAATGAAAATGAAAGTCTTGAGTAGAAGTTTCCCCAGGGCTATTGTAACCCTAGGGAAGGTAGGACAGTGAGTCCCACTCTACAAGTCCAGTTGCTCTGAATTCCTAAGCTTTCTGGAGAGAAGGGAGTCTTGATCCCAAATCTCCTAATCTCTTAAAAACCTTCCAGAAACAGGTCATCCAAACCTCTCCAAAAAAATATCTTTAAACTTGGGCCTGGAGATAGTTCAATGGTCAAGAGCACTGGCTGGTTTTTCGAAGGACCTTCGTTCAGTTCCCAGGACCCACATGGTATCTAATAACCATACATAACTCCAGTTCCAGGGGATCCAATGGAACTCTTCTGGCCTCTGTGGGCATTGCACACATAATGCACCTACATCCATGCGGGCAAAACACTTATATACATAAAATAAAAATCAATCAAAAATTTTTTTAATCTTTAAAAATTTCCTTGAAGAATAATGTAAACAGAAAAAGAGCGTGTCCTAATTGTACATCTTTGAACTCAAAATCTGAGGACAACTCCAAAGACAGCAACAGCCCAAGAAGCAGCAGGCTTCCGATACACTGCAAGACTCTGCTTCCTCCTGGTGCCTCCTCGAAAGCCCCTGTGCTCCGCCTGTGCTCCTCTCAGCAGCAGGGCCGAGTGCTACTGGCTTTGTGAACGTCACAGAATGGGACCACATAGCAGGTAAGCTTTTATATCTGTCTTCTTTCGTTCAGCAGTTGTTCATGAGATTGCCCTGTGTTGTGGCAGATAATTTACAATGCTCATTTTATTGCTGCACAGTATCGTATTTATTTGTCTAGTCCTCTATGGACAGGCTTTTGGCTAGTTCCTATTACAGACAGAATATCTATGTGTTTTCCAGCATATGACCTCTAATAGGCAAATGTATGAATCGCTTTGGGACAAATATGGAAAAGTAGATTTTCTGGGTCATTGTTTTAGTTTCTTTTCCTGTTGCTGTGATGAAATGCTCCGACAAAAGCAATCTAAGGGAAACAGGTTTCTTCCGGCTCATAGTTCAAGGTATGGTTCATCATGGTGGGGAAGTCGAGGCAGCAGGATCTTTAAGCAGCTGGTCACATTGCACCTGTAGTCCAGAAACAGAGCATGAAGGATGCTGCTGCTCAGCGTCCCTTCTCCACTTGCCAGTCCAGGATCCCAGGCAGGGAATGGCACCACTCATGGTGGGTGGTCTTCCCACCTCAATTAATGCAACCAAGAGAATCCCCCACAGGCATGCCCAGACGCCCATCTCCCTGGTGAATCTAGACTCTATCAAGTTGACAACAATAGCCATCACAGTTGGAGAGCATTTGTAAGGTTCAGCTGGAGTAGATAGTGCCAATTTTCCCAAGTAACTGTAACCAATATATGCCCCTGCCACAACTTTATAAGACCTCTTATTATCCTGCCTCCCTGCCAACAACTGATAGTATTTTTTCATTGTAGGTAGAATTCAGATGATGCATAACCAACCTTTTGAAAGTGTGCAATTCAGCAGCACTTGGTGCATTCACAGCATTGTGCCACCATCATCTCTACCCAGTTCCGAAACATTTCATCATCCCACTAGGAAGCTCTGACCATTAAAGCAATCATTACTGATTTCACACCACTTGTCCCAACCCTTGATAACCACCAATTTGCATTTATCTCTATGAACATCCATATTGTGGATATTAATATAAATGGAATCCTATAGCAAACCACCTTTCAAGATCTTACACCTAGCATAATGTTTTCCAGGTTCATTCATGTTGCACCATGTATCAATATTTTATTCATTTAATGACTGAATAATATTCCATTCTATGTATGCACCCCAGTTTGTTTATCCATGAATCCACAGATGGGCATTTTGGCCATTGTCATGCCAGGCTGTTGTGAATGATATTGCTGTGAATGTGTGTCCATGAACTTGGCTGAGTGCCTCTTTTCAGTCTTTCTGGATGTGCATCCCAGGACTAGGATTCCTTGATGGTATACTAATCTTACATTAATCTTAGCCAAAACAATGAGAAGCAATCACAATCATTTTATGTTTAATTTATTGGGAACTAACAAATTGTTTTCCACAGTAACTTAGACATTTTATAATGGTCCTGGTACAGCAATGCCCTACAGTTCTAATTGGTCTACATCCTTGGCAGAAAATAATCCTTATTACTTTGGGGCTGCTTTTTGTTTGTTTTCTTTATTCATGTGTGCTTGTGTGTGTTATGTGTTTGTGCACACGTGGAGGCTGAGGTTGATGTCCTGCATCTTCCTCTATCACTGTCCACTTTTTTTTTTTTTTTAGCTAAGTACATTAAAAAAAATATTTCTTTTTATTTTATGGGCACGAATGTTTTGCCTGCATGTCTGTGAGTGCACCATGTGCATGCAGTAAACTTAGAGGCCAGAAGGGGGTGTCTTATGGAACTGGAGGTACAGACTTGTGAGTGCCAGGAACCAAACCCAGGTTTCCTGTTGGGATTACATGTGTGTGCCACCATGCCTAGCTGTTGATCCATTTTGTATTTTTTAATTGACTATAATATTTTTATGATCTAGCAATCCCATCACTGAATATATATTCAAAGGACACAAAATCAGCATGTCAAAGAGACATCTGCTGTGCTTATTGCAGCACTATTCACAACAGCCAGGATATGGAATCAGCTGCAAATGGACAAATAGATCAAGAAATGTGGTGCATATGTTTCCACAATGCAATAATCACCGTGAAGATGCATGAGGTCCCATCGCTGGTGTGGACAATGTAGGTGGATCTGGAGGATATTAAATGAAACAAATTAGTCCCAGAAAGACAAGCACCACAAAACTGCATGATCTGACTCATGCTAAATGTAAGAAAGATTGACTTCACAGGTGCTGATCCACCTTGAATTAATGTATACGGTGTGAGGGTGAGGTTGGTGATCAGCTTCATTACAGAGCCTGTGCATCCTCAGGGGCCCAAGCATCACTGGTTGAAGAAGGGTCTTTTTCTCAGCGAATGGCTTTGGCAACCTTACTGAAAAGCAGTTGGTCCTTGATACATGGGTTCATTTCTGCTCTCAACTCTCACGCAAAGGTCAGACACCTGTCTTATCTGCCTGCCTCTGCCTTCTGGTGCTGAGATTAAAGGCATGTGACCCTATCATGGTGTTTTCTATTCCATAAAGATAGAAAATTTTTCCATTAATTTAGAACACTTTTAATTTCTCTCCATAGTTCCTTATAGGTTTTAATGTAACATTTTCCAGCATTTTTGGTTTAATATACCTAGGCATTTTTTATTCTTTTGGATGCTATTAAAAAATGGGACGGTTTTCATTACTTTTTTTTAAGTTAGTGTACAAAGTAATAGGGGTTTATGGTATCTTCAGATATATGTGCTTTGTTCTTATTCTCCTTTTGTTTGTTGGTGTTTTTATTTTTGAGAATTTCATATGTATTTTCTTTGCATTATTTCCATCCATCCAGACCCCCTGGATGGATTCTTCCCTGTCCCCTCACTCCATCCTTGTTCTTGTTTTATTCATCCCCCTCTCTGACTACCCTCCGCAATCCACCTGGCCCCACCTTGCTAATCCTCTTCCTCCAGATAGTCCTCCCTTCAGCTTTCCCCCATCACTCTCTGCCTCTTTCATTCCTCCCTACCCCTCACCCCTTAAGATGGCTTCCTCCACTTTCACGGTTCCTTTCTACTTCCATGATCCCACCCCATGTATAAATTTAAGTCTAGAGTCCATATGAGAACATGCAGTATTTGTCCTTCAGAGTCTGGCTTATTTTGCTTGCCGTAGAGGTAGCAGGCTGTACCCACTTTCCTACAAATGTCAGGATTTCATTTCTCTTTATAGGTGACAAAAATCCCATTGTGTATATGCACCACATTTTCTTTGCCTGTTCGTCTGTTGATGGACATCTAAGCTGGCTCAGTTTCCTTCCTACTGTAAATAGTGCAGCAACAAGCATGAACATGTAAGTGACTCTGTGGAGTGTTAACTTGGAGTCCTTTGAGTCTATGCACGTGGGTGGCATAGCTGGGTCACGTGGTAGGACAAGTTTTAGTTTTCTGAGTTCCATAGTGACTGCACGTTTCCATTCCCACCAGCAGTATGTAAGGAGACATGTCTCATTCTCACAGCATTTGTTGTCCTTTGTTTTCCTGGATGGTAGCCCTTCTGACAGGGCTGAGCCTGGTCCAGTCACTTTGCATTTCTCAGATGGCTAATGATGTTGAGGAATTTTTAAAACATTCATTGGACAGCTGGGTGTGGTGGCACACGCCTTTAATCCAGGCACTTGGGAGGCAGAGGCAGGCAGATCTCTGTGAGTCTGAGGCCAACCTGGTCTACATAGTGAGTTCTAGGCCAGCTGGGGCTACAAGGAAACCCTGTCTCAAAAAGACAAAAACAAAAAACAAAAACAAAAATTAATTGGCCATTTGTATTTCTTCTTCTTCTTCTCTTCCTCCTCCCTCTGCCCCTTCCCCATTCCCTTCTCCCTCATCCTCTTCCCCTCCTCCCCTCCTCCTTTTCCTCCTCCTCCTCTTTCGACTGTCTCCCCATAGCCCCAGCTCTGGAACTCAATATGTAGCTCAGGCTGGCCTCAATCTCAAAGAGATCTGCCTGCCTTCGCCTCCCAAGTGCTCTGACTAAAGGTATGTGCCACCACGCCCAGCTGTATTTCTTCTTTTGAGAACTGTGTTCAGCTCATTAGCCCATTTATTTATTTATTTATTTATTTATTTATTTATTTATTTTTACTTATTTATCTATTATTTTTCAGGGGAGAGTGCAAACGCAGTCCCTTACTACCACAATTTATGCAGTCAAGTTTCCTGAATTTGGGGAAATCGCAGGGATCAGCACATCCCAAGTGCAATGGATGAGCCTCACCCTGGGAAAACCACCTTCCTGATCATGGTGTCTCCCCTGCCAGGTAAGTGTTAGTAGCCCACTTATTAATGGGAGACGTTTGTGTTTAATTCTTATAGTTCTGTATCTAGTCTGCATATTAATGGTCAGATATGCATTTGGCAGATTCTTTTTTTCCCCCCCTCTGTGGAATTTCTCTTCATTATGGTGATTGTGTCCTTAGCTGTGGCAAAGCTTTTCAATTTCATGGAATCTTTCTTGAAATTATTTCCTCTGCTGTTGACATGTTTTTTTCCTAGCAGTTTCAAGGTTTCAGGTCTTACATTAAAATTGATGTATTTGAATTGATTTTTGTGCAGTGTGAAAGATGTGGATCTAGGTTCATTCTTCTACAGATAGGTATCCAGTTTTTCTAGCACAAGATACTGTCTTTTTTTCCATTGTATGTTATTGACACCTCTGTTGAAAACTAGGTGACTGCAGCTGTGTGGGTGTTTTTCTTGTCCCTGTGGACATGTCCGTTTTGGTGTCAGTACTTTATAGTTTTTTGTTACCATGCCTCTGTAATGTAATTTGAGATCGAGTATTGAGATCCTTTCAAGCATTGTTTTTGTTTGTTTACTTTTTGGTTTAAGATTACTTTGGTAATTTGTTTGTTCTTTTGTTTTGTTTTGTTTTGCTTTGCTTTGTTGTTTTGGGACAGTATCTCACTGTGTAGCCCCTGCTGGCCTAGAACTTGCTATGTGTACCAAGCTGGCCTCTAACTCACAGAGATCTGCCTGCCTTTGCCTCCCAAATGCTGGGATTAAAGGCGGGCACCACCATGCCCAGCCTTACTTTGGCAATTTTGACGGTTAATGTTAATTGTCAAACTTCACAAAATCTAGAATCACCTGAGAGATGGTCCTCTGGACATGCCTGTGGGGGAATGTCTTGATTATGTTAATTGAGATGGGAAGACGAACCCACTTTGGATAGTACCATTCCTTGCACAGGGGATCCTGGACTGTGTAAAAAAAGAAGAAAATGAGTTGAACAAGCGTGTGTGTATTCTTTGGTCCTTGTTTCTTGACTACACGTTCAATGTGACCAACTGCTTTAAACTCCTGCCGCCTTGATTTCTCCACCATGATGGACTGTGCCTGGGACTGAGCTGGAATACACCTGTTCTTCCCTGTTGGTTTTGTCAGAGTATTTTTCTCATGATCACAGGAAAGGAAACTAGGATGGGTCTTTTATGCTTCCATATGAATTTTAGGTTTTTTTTTTCTAGTTATATAAAGGATGTGGGATTTTATGAGGATTGCATTGGATCATTGCCTTTTGGTAAGACAGCCATTTTTATATTGATTCTGCCAACCCTTGAGCATCTTCTAGTGTCTCCTTCATTTTATGCTAGGATTTAAAAAATTTCCTCCCTGATTTCTTCAATAACACACATTCAAGGACGTCATGTTTAGTCTCCCTGTATCTGTGTAGTTTTCTTTGCTACTGATTTCTAGTTTTATTCTGCTATAATCTGATAAGACAGAAGAACTCATTTTGATTTTTGTATTTGTACTTGTTGAGACTTGCTTTGCAACCTAGAGTGTGGTCTACTTTTTTTTTTTTTTTTCAAGTAGCTTGCTAAGAAAAAAAATGAGTATTCATTGAACAGAATATTCAATCTGCATTTGCAGATTTCTGTGGTGCATTTTGCACACCTACTGGTGTGGATATCTCTTCCAGTTTTATTTCAGGACCCTCTTCTCCAGCTTCACTCAGAGAGAAGTAAACTGCTATAACATCAACAGCATCAACCTGTACACAATAGGAATGCACTTAATATTAGCAAAATCTCATGAACACATCAGTAATGACTATAAACCAGATAATGAAAAAGCTCATGCAGAATGTATGAGGAAGTTAAAATTATTCACAATAAATGTAGAAATCATAAGTGAATCAATTAAAGGAAAGAGGCAGAGAAAGGAGAAAAATACTGGAGAAGCAAGATTACATAAACAAAGAAATAAAAGAGGAATGAAGAATATTCTGGAAGAGAACAGAGCAAGAAACAGTAAAAGATGAAAAGAGAAAAACAAGTCTTCCCAGTAATAAAAAAAAAAGCTTGAAAACAAATTTAGATAAATATAAAGAATTTTTTAAAAAGCCACTAGGTTTTTTAAACCATAACAAAATACTACAAAAAAATACAGTACACAGAGGAAAAAGGGAATAAGGGGCTGTAAAAGGGAAAATAGGAAAAAGAAATGTATAAACAAAAATGGATGCATGAAAGGCCGTAAAAACTGAAAAACATGTTTTTAAGACACTATGAGGCAAAAATACCGTTAAAATGTGGTAAAACTGGGGGAAAGGAAGCCAAAAGATCATAAAGAACAAACAAATGAATGTCAGAGCGACTTCTTTTGGGGGCTCTTGAAAACTGGAGACTGCTGGTTCCCTGCGATTGACCTGGAGGCCTCTAGTCTTTCCCAGTGCTAGTGCAGGTGTTGGGCAAGCGTTTGCTGTCCACCAGAGCTGTCTTCATTTTAGAAGCTTCCTTCTTGGTGTTCAGGGGCCTCTGCTGGCCACACTTGGCTTTGCAGGGCTTCTCATCCTCCTGAGAGGCGTGGCTGATGTTTTCGCTTATCTCCCAAGTGCCTTAGGAGTGTGAGAAGCAACCACAGCATCAATCAGCATCAACCTCCTCTCAGGCAAAGGACCTGTTTTCGTCCTTTCAAGGCCTCCTAGGAATCACCTTCTTGGAGGGGGGCAGCTGTGAATGTGAAATGAGCTACTTGGGCTTGAATTTTCCGTAGGGATCCAGAACCTGAGCCCAGGTTCGAGCTGTCACACTCTAGTTTTTCACAGTTGACAAGCCTGCTCCCCGCCACCAGGACTTGGGCTTTCTTTCCCTAGGCATTTCGCTGCCTGAGTGGTCTACTCTCCCCCTGGGTTTTCGGCCCTCCTATTTTCCATAGCTACCTCCCAGGGCTGTCTCTCACTCTAGGGCTGTGGCAGATTAAATCCTGGCTCCCTGTCTCCTGGCTCGGTCCTATTCTCAAACCCCCAGGGAAGCTTAGTTTCAAGACAATAGGTTTTCATAAAGATGGCTGGAGGCCTCTGCCCTGAGGCACACTGAAGGGAATCCCTTTCCACTGTGCACTGGAAGACCCCTCTCACAGTTATAGAAGCAAAACCCCCACAAAACTCCTTAAGGGAAAACTGGTCCAGAGACTGAGAATCCCAGGCCAGGCGTTGGGTGGAGCCTTAACTTTCCAGTTTTGCCAGGGCACTAACCTAGTCATAGGACCACCCCTAGAAGGCAGGTTTGCCATAAGTCATGCAAAACAGGTGGGTAGAATGCCTAGAGAGATGATGAACATTTCCTGTCCGGAATCTGGGCCTCCTAATGCTGTACTTAAGGACCTGGCCACAGACATGAATCTTTCTATAAGTCTGCCGGCTTTACTGATTTCTTCAGAAAAAGTGTAACCTCCCTTTTTCTTCTTGCTTGCCTCTTTTCTAAGCATGCTTTTCCTAACACTGAACTGCCCCAACATTTTGGGTTTCTTTCTCTGAAGCTCCCCTCCCCTCCCTGCCTTGCAGCTGCTAGTCTACTACATGTTGACCTCCACCCTGCCCCTAAATCCACAGGGCTTTCGGGCTTTTTTCCTTCTTTCTCCTGCTCAGGGCACCTGCTGAGATTTAAAGTTTGCCTGCTCTGAGATTTGTCCTTAAATCCTAATAAAATTGTCCTAAAGCTTCAGTTTGAGTCCACTCTTAAATTCTTTTATCAGTGAGAGTAAGAACCATATAAGTGGACCCTATGTTCCTCTGTATCATCACCAAGACCCACAACTGATTTTGAGGGATGTGAGGGCTGTGGGCTGGTCTGAAGGTAGAATTCCTGGTCTCTCATTAGTAGGGCTGCCTAGCTTGCCTTCTGGAAGGACCTTCAGCCTCTGCTTTTCTACTACCCGGGAATGCTCAGGTCTTTTGCTCTGAACTTTTCGGGAATTCTGTTGCTAGCGTGGTGAATTTCTCATTCATTCTGTCTCTCATAGAGTCTATTTTCTCTTCCTTTGTCTTTAAGAAATTAAAATTTTAAAAATTTACCTTTACTTTATGTGTATGTGTTATGCCTGCATGTATGTAAGTGCGCCCGCATCGTGCAATGCCCACAGAGAACAGAAAAGTTAGGGACAGCTGTTTACCGCTGTGTGAGTGCAGGCTGAGCCGTCTCTGCAGCCCGGAATCTATTTTTTCTTATTCTGACTCTATTTCACCAGCTGGCATCTAGTCTGCCATCTTATGCAAAAGTCTGGAATAACTTTCTTAAGTCCTTTATCCGTCTGTTCACGGTTAGTTTCCACAGCTAAGTGGAGTAGCCTGCCCCTGGAGTCCTCCTGCTCATGAGGCTGAGGTCGGGGTTTGACTTGAGCTCAGGGGCTCAGGAAACTCTGGGCAACACAGCAGGACCCTATCTTAAAAAAAAAAAAAAAGAAAAGAAAAAGAAACTGTTCTGTTGATCTTATACTTTGCAACTTGGCAGAATTTGCTTATTAGCTCTAGTAGGGTTTTTTGGAGTCTTGAGAGTCTCAGCACATGCTGATGTCTTAGAGGTCATTCTACTCTTCTTTTCCAAACTTAATGCCCTTCATTTTTTTTTTTCTTGCCTAATTTCTCTGGCTAGAACTTGAAGGACACTGTTGAACAGTAGAGGTTAGAATGAACACCCTTATCTTGTTACTTAGGGGGAGGTTTTTCAGTCTTTCACCTTTGAGTCAACGTTAGCTAAGCTTTTCACAAATGCTTCTCCCTCCCCTTCCTCTGCAGGGCTGAGGATTGAACCTTGTGCATGGGAGGCAAGGGCTCTACCACTGCACTACACCCCAGTCCTACTAATTCCCTTTATCTCACTTCTGTTCCCTTCTGTTCCAAGTTTTCTAATTTTGTCATTCTTTTTTACAAAAGGGCTCTGTTAAATGTTTTTTATTTTTATATCAATTCTAACAATTGTGTGTATGTGTGTATTTTCCTTTATCCTATGAATGTGGTATTGATTTTCTTGTGTTGAACTGCCT